GCTGGGGAGAAGAAAGGGGAGAAACTTTTCTGTTCTTTTTCTTTTCCTTCTAGTGTTTAAAGCTTGCCGCTGGCGCTTCTTGTCATCGCAACTTCTTGTTGTTGTTGTTGTTTTTTGTGTTGGTGGCGGTGGCGGTGGTTCTGTCAGCGGAGAGGGGCGAGGCGCGTCCAGATTCCTCGCGCTTCATTTCTCTCTTTCTTCTCCCTCCTCCTCCTCCTCCACCACTTTACTTGCTCGCCCTCTCCGCTTTCAACCACAGAATGATGTCGCACCGCAGGATCCAAATATTTCTGTGTGGGTTGCGTCGTGCCATTATTTAGTGAGCGTCGCGCCTGTCGCTCGCTTGCGATGGGGCCGCTGCGCTGCAAGGTGGTCCTGCTCGGAGACGGCAAGGTCGGGAAGACGTGCCTACAGTACAGTTTTGCGCATGGCCTCGACTACTTGGCGCGGCATCAGGGCTATCACAAGACCGCCATCGAGAACTACGAGTTGCTGCTTCCCATCAATGACGGCGAGGGCGGGGCAGGCGGGCCGCAAGCCGTGAGTTTGGCCCTCTGGGATACCGCGGGGCAGGAAGAGTGCGAGGAGCTCCGGCGCATGTGCCACCTCGGCGGCGTGATGCCTGCTGATGAAGCTGAGGACAGCGAGGCATGCGCAAGCGCCGGCGGGCCAACGGCTTTGCCGTCGCCGCTGCAGTGTGATGTTTCGGTATTTATTTTGTGCTTTGCGTGGGATGATCCGCACAGCCTCACAAGTCTGCAGATGCGTTGGTACCGCGAGATTCGTCGGGTGGAGCAGGCGGTGGGACCTCTGCGAAATGGCAGCCACGGCAGACCATTCACTGTCGTGCTGTGTGGCACAAAGTTTGACTTGAGGACCAAGGCGGACAGGCGCGGCATCACAGCGGGACTGGTGACGCGGGAGCAGGCGTACACTGTGCAGCAGAGCATTGGGGCCGACGCGTTGGTGGTCTGCAGCTCCAAGACAGGCTTTGGAGTTCGAGACGTGTTCCACACCGCCGTGCTGCTGTGGCTTCAGAAGCAGCCGGCGTACACGCAAAGGTTGGCACCCGCAACCCCCCGAGAGGCTTTGACGCTGGGCGGCGGCGATGAACTTCCCCGCTCACCCAGCAACCACCGCATCGCAAAACGGAGTTGTCAGCTCTTCTGATGGCGATTGAAGAAAGTAAGTATTAATAAGTAAGCTGTTGTAGCAGCTGCTGCGTGTGTGTGTAGGAAAGAGAGAGGGAGAGAGACATCGCCGCTCTTCTATGTTTTCTTTTTTTTTTATCTTATCGTCTTTCTCCTCTTTTGTCCTAGCTCCTTTTCGGGTCCGCCGTCGCTTTTCATAGGGTGAGGCAGACGCCTGCGCGCAATGATGGCCGCAGCCTCTGTCGCCCGCAAGGATGGGGGCGAAGATCCACGCCACTTTGGCACCTCCACCGACGACACCGCCATTTACCTGGAGGACTCCATGGACGAGCCCACCGTCCGGTGCATCAGCTCGGCCCCGTCGGTAGTGGCCATCCTCTCCCCGCAGCGGCTCCCCGCAAACGACGGCCGCGTTGTTGACATTACCGAATACGACAACAGCAACATTGGAAGCGGCTGCGGCGCATACGCCGATCGAGCCGCTCCTCTCTCCGACTTGACAAACACGGGCGTCGTTCGGCTGTCTTTTTCAAAGTCGCCTACGCCGCGACGCTCCTTGTCCTCGTCGGCGCCGCCCAGGTGTGCCTCCTCGCGGACGCCGAATTCCTCCGAGAAGCGACAGCCACACCGCCATCCGAGCCAACGTCAACACTGTCATCACCCACCTTGCGGCAGCTCCCTCCCTGTGGGTCAAAGTTTAGAGGCAATCCCGGACGAGGAGCGCCTGGTTCCCCTCGCCCAGTATGAACGGCTTCAGCGGGAGCGCAATCGTTACGAAAAGATGTATGAACACCAAAAGGCACTCTATGAAGACATGGCACAGAAGCAGGCTGAAACGCACCAGGAACTGCAGAAGAAAATTATTGACGTTGTCGCCCTTTCCACAAGGAATGAGGAGAATAAGCGATTTATTCGTCAGTTGAAGCGGGATATGGCTGAAAACAGAACACGTGTCATGGACATTCAGAACCGTGCCCTAGAGGAGACGAAGCAGGAAAAAAGTGCCCGGGAGCAGTACCAAAGACAGCTACATGAATATGAAGAGAAATACACTGTTCTAATCGAGAAACAGGAGGCGAAGCTGGCTGGTCTTGAGAGTTTACTGAAGGATATTACGTGTATGAAGGGAGAGAGTGACAGAGTTCAGGTTTCACAGCTTGACGCCCTTCTAAAGGCAGCTTACGCGAAAAACACGGCTCTCTTTGGTGATCTGCTGCGTCAGGGACGTCAAATTGACCTGCTATTTGAGGGGAAGGCGGCACTTGAGAAACAATTAGATCAGTTGCGCCGTGAGCGACGCGAAATCGAGGCGACATGGGCAGAGGAGCGGCGACGGATGCAGGCGGAAGCGGAGCGCTACAGCGCGCAGGTGACGCAGCAGCAAAGCTCAATATTGGAGCTACGACAGATGCTGATACGCACCCTTGACTCCGGGAGTGTAGCGCGGGGGGAAGAGCAGGACGACGACGACGACGACACCGACAGCAGTAGTTACTCCTCTGGCTCCACCTCCCAGGGCGTCCAGGAGGCCGAGGAGGAGGAGAGCGGGAGCGAAGAGGAGGAGGAGGGCGAGGAGCTGAAGGGGAAGTTGGGTGTGGCAGCTGTCTTTGCTGCACCCTCGCAGGATGCGGGGGCCCAGAGAGACGCCGTGCGGCCGCCGCTGCCGCATGTAGAGCGGCCGCTAGAGCGTCGGGCGCCCGACCTGGCAACGCTCTCTGCGCAGATTCAGGCGAAATTGAAAGCCCTCCCGGGAGGGCGGATATGAGGACGAGAGACCACGTGGGGTGGAGGTGGGGGGGAGTACACCAAACACGCACAAAAATGGACGCGAATGGCAGGGCCGCTGCAACTGGAATACACACGCAAAGAGACAGCAATTGTGGGGGTGGTAGTAGAGAGGTGATGTCGCTTTTGTCTTCATCGCAGCAGCTGCAGCAGCTTCCTTCTTTGTTTTATAATTTCACGTTTAGATGTTTAGATGACTAGAGGTCGGGGAGTCGCATTAAGCTGAGGGAGTGGGGGTGTTTGGGTGTGTCCCCTGTTGGTGCCGCCGTTTTTCTTTTATTTGATATTATTACTCTTTGTTTCTCTACCGCAAAGACGCAAGGAGGTATTGTGACGTGTTTGTTTGTTTTTAACTCTTTATTTTATTACCGTTGTTTTTAGAAAAAGGATCAAGGATAAATGCACGCATGCATCAAAATAGGGGAGGGGAAAGAATATATATGTATATATGCTTCTTTTTCTTTTTCTTAATCACCGTTTGATATGTCTCTACCTTGCGAGCCTGTGCGAGCCGTTTTTTGTGGTTGTGTGAGGCTGCGGGTGCGTGGCGCGGCACCGCCCACACACTCTCAGTTAATACCTTTTCTCTCGCCATTGTGTGTGGTGCCCCCTTTTGAGAAGAAAAGACGAAAGGTAAAATATATGCGGCGAGAGCAAATAAACGAGAAGCTGGTGGAATTGAAGGTGCCACTTTTATGTGGGCCGAGTTACTCTGATGGCGATGTTCGTTCCCTCCTTGCCTGCTGGTCCACGTAACGCACACCCGTATGCGTCTGAGTATCTGCAAGCGCCGACTTATGCATTTGAGCGCCGAAGCCTTTGAAACACGCGCGCACACAGCACTAAATGTAATTATATACAATTATTTTCTTTTTGTTTTGTTTTCCCTTCTTCATGAAACGTGTTTTTGTGCAAAGCCAAAGCAAACCACACAATTAACGAAAATAAAAAAAGGAAGGAAAGGGGGCGGAGTATTGCGTGCATGGCGAAGGAGTTGGTGGAGTCACTGCAGCAGGACGATGACGAGGAAGTCCCCCTGCTGCCGCCGTCAAGGGGGTTGTCGTCCGCGGAGGCCGATCGACTCCTTGACCACCACGGGCGCAATGAGCTTCCCCACAAGACGGTGCCTGGCTGGCTTATTTTCATGCGCTGTATGTGGGGTCCGATGCCTATAGCCATTTGGTTGGCCGTCTCCATTGAGTTTTGTCTCCAGAATTTCCCTGATGGCGGCATTCTTCTCTTCATTCAGTTCGCCAACGCTACAATCGGCTGGTACGAGACAACCAAAGCCGGTGATGCGGTGGCGGCGCTTCGCGACTCATTGAAGCCCCTCGCCACTGTGATGCGTGATGGAACGTGGCAGAACATTGACGCGGCGCTTCTGGTTCCTGGTGACCTTGTGAAGCTTGCCTCGGGTTCCGCTGTGCCTGCCGACTGCACCATCAATGAGGGAACCATCGACGTGGACGAGGCGGCGCTCACGGGCGAGTCCCTTCCAGTGACGATGGGGGTGGAGCAGATGCCAAAGATGGGCTCTACTGTAGTGCGTGGTGAGGTGGACGGAACGGTGCAGTTCACAGGCCAGAAGACGTTCTTTGGCAAAACGGCGTTGCTCTTGCAGTCCGTTGAGGCCGATCTTGGCAACATTCACTACGTGTTGGTGCGAGTCATGTTTGCCTTGACATCGTTTTCTTTCGTGTTATGTGTGACCTGCTTTGGTTACCTCATGGGACAGTACAAGATGAACTTTCGCGATTCCCTGGAGTTTACTGTCGTGTTGCTTGTTGTGTCGATTCCAATTGCTATCGAAATTGTCGTCACGACTACGCTTGCGCTGGGGTCAAGGGAACTGGCCAAGAAGAAGGTGATTGTCACCCGCCTCTCCTCAATTGAAATGATGGCGGCGGTCAATATGCTTTGCTCTGACAAGACGGGAACCTTGACGCTGAACAAGATGGAAATCCAGCAGCAGTGTCACGTTTTCAGTAGGGAATACAACCGCGAGATCGTGCTCGTCTTGGCTGCCCTTGCGGCCAAGTGGCGTGAACCGCCCCGTGATGCGCTTGACACGATGGTACTGGGCGTGGCTGACCTGGATGAGTGTGACAAGTACACGCAGCTGGAGTTTGTCCCGTTTGACCCGCGCATTAAGCGCACAGAGGCGACCCTACGCGGTCCCGACGGTCTTGTTTTCAAAGTCACCAAGGGTGCACCAAACGTTGTCCTGCAGCTGGTGCACAACCGCGACGCCATTAAGGCCCAGGTTGAAGGCATCATCGAAGACTTGGGTCGACGCGGCGTCCGTTGCCTCACAGTTGCTCGCACCAAGGAGGACCAGCAATGGCATATGGCGGGCATCCTGACCTTTCTGGATCCGCCGCGCCCAGACACAAAGGAGACCGTCAGCCGCAGCAAGGAGTATGGCGTTGATGTGAAAATGATTACGGGTGACCATCAACTCATTGCAAAGGAGATGGCCAGGATGCTTGACATGGACACAAACATCTTGACCGCCGAGGGGCTGCCAAGGTTTCCCGCAAGTGGAGACCCAAAGGATATCCCATCGACACTCGGTGAGACACATGGTGACATGATGTTGGCTTGCGGAGGCTTCGCTCAAGTGTACCCGGAACATAAATACCTGATTGTGGAAACGCTGCGACAGCGCGGCTATACAGTGGCAATGACAGGGGATGGCGTCAATGATTCTCCCGCACTGAAGCGCTCTGACGTTGGCGTTGCCGTGGATGGATCCACCGACGCCGCCCGAGCAGCAGCAGACATGGTGTTAACAGAACCCGGCTTAAGTGTCGTGGTGGACGCGATGCTTATTGCGCGTGGGGTTTTTCAACGCATGCTGTCGTTTCTAACGTATCGTATTGCCGCAACCCTACAGCTTGTGTTGTTTTTCTTTATTGGTGTCTTTGCCCTTCCGTGCCAGGATTACGGGATTGAGGATCCCGACTTCCGCTTCTTCCGCATTCCGGTGCTGCTGTTCATGCTTATTACGCTGCTGAACGACGGGACTCTGATGACGATTGGGTACGACAACGTTGTGCCCGATCAACGTCCTCAGCGATGGAATCTGCCGGTGGTGTTCATCATTGCCACCGTGCTCGCTAGTGTGGCGTGTGCGTCGTCCCTCTTGTTGCTCTGGATGGCGCTGGACTCTCACGACACCTCCTCGTGGTTCCACAAGCTTGGCATCCCTCCCGTTTCCGAGGGCCAGATTGTGACGATGCTGTACCTCAAGGTCTCCATCTCCGACTTCCTGACGCTCTTCTCTTCCCGCACAGGCGCAAATTGGTTCTGGTCCTTCCGCCCCAGCCTTGTTCTCCTCCTCGGCGCCGTCGTTTCACTGGGGATCTCCTCCTGCGTTGCCTCCTTCTGGCCGGACGGGAAGCTGGACAACGTCGTCGTCGTTGGTCTTTCACACGGCAATAGCAAGGCGCACCGTCTGCTCCCCCTCTGGGTTTGGGTTTGGTGCGTCAGCTGGTGGTTCGTGCAGGAAATTGTGAAGGTGCTGACATACAAGGCGCTGGAGGTCTTTGATATATTTAACTATCGCACCATTGCGGAGGGCAGGTGGAAGCCATCGGCGAAGACGAGATTCCGGCGTCGCTCACGCGGAATGAGTCTGGGCGCCACCGACAACGTCGAGCAGCCGCTTCTGACGTAATTAGCTTGTAGCGGCCGCAGGGAGAAGGCCACGGAAGCAACGAAAAAGAAAAAAAATTGTGGGACAATAACTGGGAACGCCTTTGCGTGACTCTCTGTGCATGTCTGAGGGGGCGAGGAGAGAATCGTGTCTATGCATCTCTCTGTCTGTGTTCATGTGCTGGATTCGTATGCCATATACTTTGATTCATGGGAAGAGCGTTGAGGCGGGAGTGGGTGAGAAGGGGAGTGACGTGTCTGCAGCTGTGCGCTATTAGTATGAGTTTAGAAAAAGTGAAGTTTGGGGTTTCAAAGTGTTGCGGACATGCTGAGGAAGCGGATGGACGCAGTTCCACTATTGAAGCGGCAGCAGATAGGAGGCAACCCATCCATTCAGCGGCCGGGCGAGGAAAATGTCCCGGTGGCATACGCATTGCCTATTCCCCTTCGCTCTGACCCGCGTGCACGCAGTTAATTGCAGTTGTTGTTGTTATTTTCGTCACACCTGTATCTCTTCTTTTATGCCTAACAGAGGGCCGAAGAGATTCTTTTTTTTTTTGCATGCCGTTAGTCGTTGTTGTTGCTTTATGTTCTCCAATGTGGCAGGCTGACTTGACGTAAAACGAAAAGAAATAACAGCCGATGCCATAAAATATTACCGCGTGTGTTTTTCTCTCTTTTTTTTTCTCTCTTTGGGACTCATCGGCGCGTCCCGGTCCAACGCGCACGCAGATGAAATTGCCGTCAAGAGGCGGGCGGCGGCGAGGAGGCAGCGGGGCAAATGAATGGGCCTCGAGTGACGTAAGAAAGAAGCGGTCCGAGTGCTGAGGGGGTTCTCTCCGAGTTCCCCCGCAAACAGAACAAAACACCCAGAGGGTGTGAAAAAAAGAAAAGAACGGAATATTTGCGTATTGATTTTTTGCTTTTCCTCTCTCTACTTCTTTATTGTTCCCCATGGTTGTATTTCCCTTGCAGCCTGTAAGTGCCGTGCGTGCCTCTCTCTGTGGCCGCTGATCTACAGCGGCGTTACTGCCCTCACTTATTATTATTATTATTATTATTATTATTATTATATATATATATTTTTTTTTTTGCGAGCACGCACATATGCACAGACGGCGCTGGTAGCGGCTCCAATGGAACGTGGAGACGACGTTGTGGGCGCCGCATTTAGACAGGCGTGCCAGCATGGCGACCTAGCGGCGGTGCAGGATTTTCTTCGTCACGGGTGTGCCCTGGAGAGCGCCCCCTGTGAGGGCTGCACCGGGCTCTGGCTGGCAGCGGAGGCTGGCCGCACGGAGGTGGTGGCCTTCTTGTGCTCAAAGGGAGCCAACACAAACGTTGCGAGGTCTCCTGGCGGTGCCACTGCGCTGTTTGTGGCGTCGCAGAATGGCCACACCGCCGTGGCGCGGTTGCTGCTGCAATTTGGCGCGGATCCCAACCTGGGCAGAGACACGGGTGCCACGCCCGTCTTTATCGCGGCGCAGCAGGGGCACCTTGACCTTGTACGGCTGCTTCTCGATGGCGGAGGAAACCCCGCAACTCCTAATTATCAGGGTGTGTCGCCCATCATGGTGGCGGCCCATCAGGGAAACTTTGACTGCGTTCAGCTGCTGCGAGGGAAAGGGTGTGATCCATGCGAAGTCGCGATGGGGCGAAATAAGATGGAGTGGGCCGAAGCGAAGGGCCATGGAAAGGATATTGCCCATGCGGTGATGCAGGGGGCAGTTACCCACCCGGGTTTGGAGATATCGGAGGGCAAAATCCCACGGTGTACGGCTGCTGCCGGCGGCGGGAATGACAGCAGTGGATGGAATGAGCAAGAGGATGGGGCACTCTCCACGCTGGGACGCATGGAGTCTGAAACGGGAGAGGGAGAAAATGGTCGGCAAGAAGACTCTACCTTTTCGCTTTCCAAGCCCCGCACGGGGGGCATTTATGAGCCACAGTACCTGTTGCGTGGACGCCACCCTGCGAGCTCGTTAAGTGCCGTGTCACAGAACCCCAGCAGAGAGGCAGTACAAGGTGAGCGGGAGAGGAGTAAGGCGCCGGAAGTGTCTTCCCGTGGTGGTGTTGCATTCCGAGCTTCAGTGGGCCGACTCAAGTTCCTGGTGAGGCGTGAGGAGGAAGAAAATGAGTCCTTTAGGGCGAGACAGCGAGGGATGCTTCAGACGCATCACCCCCGGCGGGTGGCTGCGGAGCCCCCGCCCATAGACGCACAGGAGATCGAGGCAAGGTGGGAAGTATGGAAGCGAACTCTATACGAGAAACTAAGGTAGGAGGGACCGTTTGTTAAGGCCTCTCTGAGCGGACTTCGCTCCGGGGCACATAAGGGTCTCTACGACGCCGTATTGCCTTCCTCTTGGCCTTACTTTGTCTCCTCTGAGTTGCTACGAATCTCGACGAAATCCAGTTGCTTCCGTTAAATCACTGAGAGACAGTCGGGCGGAGTGCAGGAGAAGAAGAAGAACGGGTCCTTTACCTCACACTGTGGCTAGAACATATATATATATATATATATATATGTGTGTGTGTGTGTGTATGCAGTACTGCCTTCTACATCTGGTGTCATTGTCCTCTCTCTCACTCTCTCTCTTTTGTTAAACGGGAAGAAGTTTTTAAAAAGGGGGTCTCGGGGCTTTCGCTCGCACACGCTGCTGCAACCGGGCAGCGCAAAGGGATACTTCCTTTCAGAGATTTAGCTTACGTATACGGGAATTGCCATGTCCCGGACGAATACCAGGGGCAACGCCCTTCAACAGCAGGCGAAGACAGAGCGGGTTGTTCGACTAGAGGTGCAGCGCCGGCACGCAAAGGGCTCACTCCGCGTTCTTGACTCCATGATTCGCGAGGTGGATGACCAGCTGCTTTACGTCGCTCAGTTTAAGAAGGAGTGGCTGCAGCACCGCAGGGAACTGGAGGCGGCAAGGCAGGAGATTTTGACCGAAGAGACTGCAAAGAGGCAGCAGCTTGAGAGGAGTTGCTTGCATCTGCTACAGCAGCTTGCGCGTGGGAAGTTTACGGGTTCGAAGACGGAACCTCGGAAGCCGAACGGGGAGTGACGGGGTCGGAAGTGCCAAAAAAAAAAGGGGGGGGGAAAACATAAACGCACCCGCACAGCCCACTCTCTTCAATTCCTTTATAGTTGCGACCTGCTTCTTCTTTTGCTTCATATTAGTCTGCTCCCACGTCCTTCGGGATATCCTTATTGCGGTCATGAACAAGAGGCTTCAGCCGCGTTTTCTTCCTCTCCCAGCGTTGCTGGTAGTTGTTTTTTTTTTTTTGTCCTCCCTCCCTGAGAAAAATGATGGGAAAAGACTGCTGCTGTATATTTCTGGCCACGTGATGCCCTCAAGCACGTTACTTCTTATCATGTTTGCATTCGTGCCCCTTTGGCGGGTTTCCAACCGCACTCTTTTCATGCATCCGAATTTATAAATATATATATATATATGTGGTGAGGGCAAAAAAAAAAGCCCTCATCTTTGTCTTTTTCACTAACCCTGCTATTTTATCATTTTTTTTTATTCCCTTGTTGTTGTCGTTGCCATTCTTCGGCTTGCGCTTATTTTGTGCACGCCGCGTAGGCTTGCAACCGGGACGAGCTCCCAGCAAACGGGCGGGTGGCGTGTCCCGCGGAGTGGCGTCAGCGCAACCCGTACGGAGTGCACGGGGGCAGACACGCCGCCGCAGTTGTGCCGCTCAGGGGAGAAGCCTAAGGGCGGCGGTGCCCCGATGACGGACTACGGGACACCCGGGCGAAACTCCCACACGGCCGCAGTGAGCGCAGGCTCCGGGGACGGTGGGAGCGCCGGCAGGCGCGTGGTGCGCTCTGCCCTAGAGCTTCTCGCGGAAACGGCGTCACCGGAGATCGTGCGGGGGCAGACGTCGTCGTCCGCTGCGGCGGCCCCGGCAAAGTTTACGGTCACGTACGCCACTGCGCCGGCGGTGTCTCATGGTGTGACCGCTCAGCCGCAGCAGCTGCGGCGGTCCCCGTCGGCAGGGAAGGGTGACGCCGCGGCAACGGTGGAGGAGCCCAGCACATTGCTGTTTCTTTCACCGACCCCTGTTGCTGGTGGCGCGGACAGCGCTGTCAAGAAGCGTCTGTTCAAGAAGAAAAAGAAAACCATAAGGCTTTCCGACTCCGTCAAGAGGGCGGCGGCGTCGGCGGTGGCGAGAGAAGTGTGGGGCCCGGAAACCCCTGCGCGGCAAAACGCAGCCGGCGAGGGCGAGAGCGAGAGCAAAGCTCCTGGAGAAACGTCGGCTGCCGTTGGTCCCGGCGCAAACGGCTTCCACGACCAGGGAAGGCTGCTGAGGAAAAATGAGCCTCTCTTCACGGAGGAGGAGGTGCAGCAAAGAATCCTGGTGGCACTGAAGGCCTACGAAGCCCGTCGTGATGCGGAAGAGGAGTCGGTGCTGCAGGAGGTGGGCCGCGAGATTGAGTCACAGAATGAACGATATGAAAAATTGCTGAAGGAGAAGCAGGCCGCCGCCGAGGAGTGTGACGCGCTTCAGGCGAAAATGGAGCAGCTTGCAATGCAGTGTGCGGCGCTGCAAAACACCATTGCGGAGCTGCATCAAGAGCTACAAACGGCTCAGGACAGGGCCTCCCGCGCCGAAGTGGAGCTCTGTCACGCGAAGGACGAAAAGCGTCTGACCTCCTCTGAGTTGCAACAGGAGCTGAACTTTGAAAAGGCGCAGTGGAAACTGGCACAGGAGGAGATGCAGCGGCAGATTGCCGAGTTTGAGACACAGCTGCGTTCTCGGACGTTTGAATGGCATGAGCTGCAGGAGTCCACCCACGCGAAGGACAAGGAGCAAGTTCGGCTCTCGGAGCAGTTAGAGGCGTGCCAGTCGGAGCTTAGGCAGTGGCAACAGCGGCAGAGTGAGTCCCAGGCGACCGTTGCAGAGATGCAGGAAATAATTGAAGCCAAAGAAGCACTAATTCGACAGCTACACGTCAAGGTGCATGAAGCGGAGAAGGCCGTGAAGCGGGCCGCAACATCAACACGCGACGAGCAGACTCAATTTCAGTCACACCTACAATCCGTTGAGGAGGCGCTGCAGCAGCAGACAGACGAGGTGCGGCGGAAGATGCACCGGGTCCACGTTCTCGAAACGGAGCTGGCGAAGGCGGAGAAAGTGAACAAGACACAGCACGGTCTCCTTCACGAGGCCGTCAGTTGCTTCTCCGCCATGCGCTGCACACTAGAGGAGTTTGTAGAGATGTTTCGCACGTCCCGTCCTACGCGACCATCCTCACGGAGGGTGCGTCCCGCACCCTTTGCGACGTCGGAGTGGGGCGAGCCGCATCCGGATGCCGCCGAGGAATTCTTCGCTAGGGAAGCCGACAGCTTGTGTGGCTCGAAGTGGGAAGCAGCCGCAGCGGCAGCAGCAGGAGAGGATGAGGGGAAGGAGGGAACAAAGGATGATAAGGAAAACAGCTTTTTCGAACTTGTCATGTGCAAAGAGCTTCGTGACGACCTTCGGCAGGGACGTTTCTTCTCTGGCAAGACTGCTGCCCCGGTGCAACAGCGTAAGCCAAACGCAGAGCGACCCCGCGGCAGTGTGAGTCCTACGACGTTTAGGAAATCCAAAAGTGACGATGCCGATGAGGCGGACGGGCGTGGTCGGTTGCGGCGGTGTCATCGGGCCTGTGAACGCCTTTTGGAGACCCTGCGTCGTCTCCACCTTCAACGGCAGAAGGAGATGCAGCGCCAGGTTCAGCAACTTGAGGCGCGGCAGGCGGAAAAAAGCAGGGCAGAGATGACACGCTGCCAGGACGCGCTCGCCACCTGCCAAGCCAGTCTAGAGGAGAGCAAGCAACATGAGCGGTTAGTGCGTGAAGAGTGTCACCAGCGTGGCAGTGAGGTGAAGCTGTTGGAGGCTACCCTTGTAGAGTTGCGTGCGCGGGAGCAGGAGTGGAAAGCGGAACAGAAAAGGGTAACGGAACGCATGGAGATGCTGCAGCGCGAGCGCGGCATTTTGCACCTTCAGCTGGAGGCCAGTCAGCAGGACTGTGTGGAGTTGCGTGAGCGATACGAGTCGGTACGCGGGGAGGCGGAGGAGCTGCGCGAACGCGTGCGTCTGCTTGAGACCAGCCAGCGCACACACGAGGAGGCGATGGAGGCGAAGGCGAAGGTGTTGGCAAGGCTGGCTCGCTGCACTGAGAAGCTGAAGAAGACAGAAGGAGAATGCCAGGCCCTCCGTGATGAAAATGAGGTCCTCTCAAATAAATTAAAGTCTATGCTCCTGCAGCTGCAGACTTCGCGTATGCAGCAGCGCAGCAAAGGCGCCTCGGCAGCTGTGCGGCAAGGGCACCAGCAACAACAACAACAACAAGAGGAGTTGACGGCGCTAACAAAGGAAATGGGAGCGTTGCGTAGGCTGCAAGAATCCGCTGCCGCCTTGCACGCCAAGGAGCGTACTGAGGCGGAGGTGTCCTTAAAGAAACTTGCGTCAAAGAACGAAGAGCTGCGCGAGGAACTGGCTCAGCAACGGCGTGCGCTGGCTGACGCCCTCAACGAGGTAGAGTTGCAGAGGCGGGCGGAGGTAACCACGCTGCGTACACTGATGAGCATTCACCAAGCCGGGAGTGAGGCGTTGAATGACACCTGCGTGGACGGCAACAGCCCACACGAGGTGCAACAGCGACTCTTCGATGCTAGTCCCGTGCCCCACACAGAGGACAACGTGAGTGCGACTCGAGGAGAGATGTCCACCCTCTATCTTCGAGGACGCGTCGTGTCTCTGGCGCAGCGGGCAGTCCTGGAGCTCGCGCGGCTAAGAGAAGTCATGTCCAGAGGACCGCCGGCGGAGGCGGGTGACCGACTGGAGAGTTTTCAAGCAGCAGAGCAATTCGCGTGGGAGGCGGCGCAGCGCTCTGCTGCTCGACGAAACTCTTGCATTGAGGATCACGGGGAGGCCGGGTCATCAGCGCTACCGTCATCGCAGCGGGTGGCACCTGTGCTGCGCAGTATCAGTCAGCAGCAGCGACAACAGCCAAGGCAAAAGGTGCAGTGCCATCCACTCGGGACTCCTGGTCGGTGCTCCCTGCTGCATAGGTCGCCATCGCCGAAACAGGTGGATAGGGATGCAATTGCTCTAGGCCTTTCCCCCAAGCGCCACTCTGTCTCCTTTACGGCTGTGAATGCCGTGAAACGAACGACAAGGGGCGAGCAAAGGAGTTCACGCCCTCGTGCTTCCTCCTCCTCACGGTCTTCGACCGGTGGCGTGTCGCGGTCCCTCTCTGTTCCGGGGGTTCTGGATGGGAGTTCTTCACCGGCCAGGCCACCGATGCTTCGGGCACCGTCAGGGCATTGAGGGTCTACTCATTCCGTTGTGTTCGTTTCGCCCCCGCATGGGGGGCCCATTCTGAGATATTTTTGCGTCGCTCCGCGTTTTACTTTATAGAAATTTAGATGCAACCCGCCGCATGGCGTTAGACGTGGTGCAACTACGAAGATGAGGGGGCAAGTAGCTCTCAGTGACTTTTTTTGTCTCCCTCTTTCTCTCTCTAAAATTTCGCCGATACGACCAATCATTGCCGCATACAGACACTATGGCTAGCTAGCTTGCGTGCATGTGTGTGCGTGTGCGAGAGTAACGGTAAGGAGAGCAATGGGACGATAACATGTCGTCGCACTGAGGGAGTAATGTTTGCTTGTGTTCGCATTTTCTTTTTTTTTTGCTTTTCTCCTGAACTCATCGCCGTGTCGTCTTCCGTCCTCCTTGTGTCACTTCTTTCCGTTGCTCGTTTCGTGTCCGTTTGTGCGTTTGCGCGGCATTTCTCACCTACGCCAGCTCTGCGCGAAGCAAAACAGCAAGCAAGCGGCATAGGGTGTGAAAAGGAAGTAAAAGAAAAACTCATAGAGCGCTCCATACATGTCTGCCCGACAGCTGCGACGCCTTCAGAACCTCGTGAAGGCCTCTACAGGCGCCGATGTCGAGGACGACGACGACGCGGAGAAGACGCGCCCCTCAACGATGAGGATCCCCGGGGGCGCGAGGAAATCCGGGCGGCGGCAAAAGGCGGCGGGACAGCAGGCTCCAGTTGAAACGTGCAGCCATCACGGCCAAGGGGAGGAAGGAGGGGCGTTGACCACCAGCGTCGACGGCAAAGCAGATATTCACAGGAAGACGGAGGGCCAAGGCGAACGGGCAGCGCTTGCAGGGAGGAGAGAGCCCGAGGTTGCAATAAGCTCGAACCAGGAGGTGGAGGCGCGGGACGCCCCGGCCGCGGTGGGCGAGGTGCAAAAAAAGGAGGAGATGATGAGCGAGCGCCGCAGCAAGCGGCAGCGCAATAGGAACGCGAAGGCCAAACGTCGCGAGGAAGAGCGTGAGGAAGAGTTGCTACTAGAGGCAGCACTGCGGCAACGAGAGGAGGACGCAACTGCCGGCGCTGGCGGTTTTGACACGGGCGGTAAGGAGAGTGAGGAGGCGGATCTTCTTGAGCTTCTCTCTGCTTGCGACGTCAAAAAGCTTGATACACGCGAAGAGCGCATCCGTCGCTTTGGTGCAAGAGCAGTGGAGGACGTTGGTGACGGCAGGGTGCCAACGCGTCGCAGGGAAAATAGGCCAGCCTCGCTTCTATTTGCGGAACACGGGCATTTTGCGCCCCGTTTTTTCCACAGCCTGCTGGCAACACCAAACCGCTATTGCTGGCCGCAGTATGACGGTCTCGGGGTGGCTCTCGTGGTGAAAGGGACAAAGGCAGCTAAGGATAACCACACCTCCAAGGAGGATAGTAACAGCATGGTTGCCGGCCCTCTTGTATACTACCTTGACGATGCCACGGCCGAGACGCGTCGTGCAGACATGGCGCTGGCGGTTTGCGGCTCACTTCACGCCGGTGTAGAAGGCATTATGCAATGCCTGGCGTCTGCACCGTACCACATCCCTACGCTTATTATTGCGAGCAACATGTTTGAGACGATGGGTAGCGTCCCGCGCGCTCAGGAGGCCATTGATGTTGCGCTGTATCACGTGGGGGTATTACTTTCGCGGTTTCCAGTTCGACAGACAGTGCGGCGACGTTGCATGCCCTTCAGTATTGCTTCTAATAAACAACTTTTCCAGGTTTTGCGCTGTGGAGTGCAGCAAGCACTCAGAAAAGCGGCCACCAGGACCGCGTGGGAGATCGCAAAACTGATCTATTCCCTCGATGACACCGATCCACTTGGGATGCTGCTGCAACTTGACTATTTGGCACTGCGGGCGAAGCGGTGGGCATGGCTAGTGCAGGTGAATTTTCTCGTGACACGTGAACTTGAGCTCGAGGCGGATGGCAAAGCGGATGAGTCGAATGATGCACGGTCCAACCGCAGACTGGCGTTGGCACTGTCAACCCTGCCCGGCTTCTATTTCAGCGCCGCCCTCGCCAAATACTTTCTTGAGCGCGAGGAAGCAGCATGCGTGGGCGCTACCGGGACAACCAGGAGCAAGACCTCAAAAGTGATACGTGAGATGAAGTCGATGCAACTGCATGCCTTCCACAACACTCCACCGGCTGTAGTGATGCTTGCGCGCGCCATTGGTCGTTTCCCTTCCGCTGCAGTGCTACTTGTTGAGAAACTTGGAAGCCAGTCTGTGCTTCCATCAGCTCCAGCAGCATGGCAGGATATTGTGAAGGCCCACGAGACGACCACAGAGGAGCACAGTTTGCACGTGGCTAGTATGTGGGTGGCTAGGAATGCCGAAATGTGGAAAGCGGCAGAGCCAAGCGCCTTTTTGCGTCAGGTGGTGCAAAACGATGACGGTAGTTGGTTAACATCTTGCAGTGGTGCTGGTAATACCACCACCTCGACAGCTGCTGTTGCCGTCACAGCGGATGCCTTGCACCCTCTCACTCCATGGAAGCACGCACCGCTCAAGGAAGAGGACATATTGGGTCCAACCCTGACGGCAATTCCGGCACACTTGCTAGACACGAACGAACTCACCGAGGAAGACTTGCGCGACGAGGCGCGGCGTGCAACAAGGCGCGAACTTGCCCCAATGGAACAGATCACCCTGCTGCGTTTTCAAGCTCTGTATGGGCCCCTCTCACCACCGACGCTCTTGCCGGCTGAACAGCTCGCCAGGTATAGCACAAGGTTTGAGGAGGAAGGTAGAGAGCGCCAGGTTGGGGAGGATCACAATCCCCTCCTCCTCTTCTTTCAAACGCTCCTTCCTTGGAATAGCACGCAAGAGATGGCACTGCGGGCGGCGTTGGATGCTGCCGGGGTTCCTGACCCTGCCGTCAACTTGAGCCGTCGACTGCGCATGGAAGACGAAGCCGCAGGGCAAGAGTCGTCGTACGAGTACGAGTACGGGGAGGAGGAGGAGGAAGGAGATGGGTGGGAAACAGAGGAAAGTTGGTATGACGAGAGATTCTTTATAGAAAGTGAAGATGACGAGAACTAAAGCGAACTACGCACTTGCGAAAAAGAAATGAGCGGAGAGGGAAGTATGTTGTGTATATTTTACCTCTCAGTTTGAAATGACGGAAGTAATTCTGCTTTTGTGTACGTGTTGATGTGCTGGCGTTGGCAGCGGCAGCGGTGGTGAAGAAGGGAGGGGGAGGATGAATTTTGTGTGCTGCATCCGTTGGGTTTTCTTGGGGCCTTCTCACTCTGTGGTTCACCCGCGCGACAACAAAGGGACACACCGAGGCAAAGGGGAAGGAAAAAGGGGACGGGGCAATGCGAGCGTGGTGGTGGGGCTCTGCGTCGTCCGCCGCGGGGGTGTCTGCTGGGAGCGGCCCACCGCTCGCATTGGAGGGTCGGCTTCGCCGCGTCACGGCGAATGACATTGCGCATGTGACACCGCGGGATGTGGCGCGGGTGAAGCAACAAATGTCGCTGGAAGACCTTCACTGCGCGATGCGCGTGATGCTCGGAGATAACCGATATGCAGAAGTGTTGGAGCAGGCGCCGCCGTCTTCGTTGCGCAGCGCGGCGCATGGCCTCTCCGCCACGCAGCTCAGCGGTCTCATGACCATCTCAAAGTCAAACTTTCTTGCCCTCTACAATGTGTTGCCGTACACGACCCAGGCCCACCTCGCGGAGATGACGGCAATTTCCAACACTGCCGGTTGACAGGACTCAAGCGTGTTTCCCGTAACCGGAAAGAGATTATTCACACCGAGGGGCTGCATCTCCACGTGCCGCCTTTGTCATTTTTTTGTTGCTTGTTGTTGTTGTTGGTATCTTTTTCTTGTCTGCGCCCTTTTTTTTATTTGCCTCTCTTTATAGTCCGTTTTTGGCTTCTTCTGGAGGTTTGTGGGCGGGTTCTTGGAGGGGGAGGGGAGGGGAGGGGATCTCTTCTGGTCGAAGCCGCCCACGGAAAAGTGTCAAGGCAAGCCCCACCATTATTACGCATAGATATTAACTGTATCGCTTACAATGCTCCCTAGCGCTGGAGTTGCAAGCGGCAGCGCGAACCTTGCCGCACAGAGTCTTCAGTACCGACAGCAGTTGTACGCCGATGAGCAGGGGTTTAGCGCACAAGGTAGGAATTGGTCACGTTCATTTCTTGCGTTGTCGGCTATATCAATGGGTCTCGTGATTGCCAGCTCAATCATTAGTCTAATGACCCTTAACATCGGCGTTTCGACAATCTTCTTGAACGTCTACCTCGTGATGTTGTGCTTCTTTGCCCTCACTGCGGAACTTCGCCAAGTAAAGTGCCTGCGGGGCCTTATCTACATCTGGATGAAATACCTCTACTTTTTGACTACGTACACAGGGAGGGCTATTTTTTATATTTTCTTGGGAACCCTTGCGTTCGGGGGCGGCCTCTTGAACTATGTGGCGGCGGGTGTGGCGGTTGTTCTTGGTACCCTCATGTTTTGTGTGAACCTTGTCGTCGAGCTGCCAAAGTATGTGGACCCAGAAATGCTGCGGGAGGAGGAAGCCGCGCGACGGGAGGCGTTGGGTGGCACGAATCAGGACCCTTTTTCCCCGACGCCCGGCCAACCCGTTACCAGCAACGTCGGCAGTGCCGGCGTGCGTCCCCCGTCTGTGGCCACCACGGGTTACCAGCCACCGGCTATTGACGCGGGTCCCAATGCACTTTAGACGCGTAAATATTGCTGTTCGTGCCATGCCGTCATTGCTCCATGCCTCCACACCACAGACGTATACCTGGAGAGGGGAAGATATTTAGTCAAGAAGGAGTGGGTGTGGGAAACTCCAACGCAACGTATTGGTTCCGTTTCTCTCTTGCATTCGTAGAAGTGCTGGTGATCCATTGTTTACTTTCCCTGGACGGAGGGCAGGGTGTGAGGCGGGGACGGGGAGGCTTACCTCAGCAAATCCCATCACCTTCGATATCGATATGGCGTCAGGGTTTCCATGCGTTCTGGATAAGTTCCATGAAATCACCCACACTTGTTTTGCAGGCGAGCATTTAGTGCGGCTTGTGGGTCCTTTCCTCCTCTCTAGTCCAAGAGCATTAGTTGTTGTTGTTGTTGTTGTTGTTGTTGTTGTTGTTGTTGTTGTTTTGGGCGCCGTTGGTTGTCTACGAGTGGATCAATTACGACTTGGGTGCCTTGCCGCTTTTTTTCTTCTCCCTCTCGTTCGGCAAGGCACGTGGGTGCGGCGAGTGTCTGTCGTAGTTGAGTTGTACTGTTGTTTGTTTGTGTGTGTGTGTGTCTATGGTGCTCACCGTCAGCTGATGGTGTGGGGGGGGGAAGTTGCGACTGGGGCGCCTCCCCAGCCGTTGCTTCCCGCGTGGCTTGATCGTCGGTGCACCTGTTGGCTCCGGCGGAGTTGCTGCCATGCCGAAAAGCGTTACGCGCATAAAGCGTGGGTGTTCTGCCATTTTCCTTCTCTCTCTATCCCTCCCCAATTGGCTTTTATGGGCAGCAGCCGCCGCAAGGACAACGCCGGCAAATGGAGGATGACAGATCCGACGGGCCCCCGCCGGAGCGTAGCGCACGGGTGCGGCCGAAGCACCACAGCACCCTCCCGGCAGTGACGCGCCAGAAAGCGGTTGACCCGCGTTTCAGCGATTTGTACGGCACCGTTGACCAAAAACAGTTTGAGAATCACTACAAATTCCTGCGCGAGCAGCAGGAGGAGGAGGAGACGCGTCGTAGGCATCGAATGCGCTGTCTGAAGTGCATTATCCGGCGCGGCGAGCTTGAGGCGAGCGGTGCGAAGCTGGAGGAGTACGATCTCTCAGAGAATGAGCGGGATGTGTTTGGGGAGGACAACCTCGACGAGTTGTCGGCGATGAAGCTTCGGCCGCTGCCAGACCTGCAGGTGGAGCTTCAGCAGCTGCAGCGTGAGTCGCAACGGCACGTGTCGCGCATGAAGGGGCGCCAGGTGCAATCACGCCGCGACAACCTGCGAAAGGAAATCATCAAACGGGAGGCGGGGGCGGTGAAGGAGGGAAAAAAGCAGCGGCCATTTATCCCGAAGCGGGCGCAGCTTAAGCGTGAGATTCTTGCTGACACATTTGAGCGGCTTGAGCGGAAGGGCGGAAAAGGGGCAGTGGACAAGTACGTGGAGCGCAAGAGTCGGCGGCGGTCTTGACAAGAAGGACCGTGGCAATTCCTTCTGTGTGTGTGTGTGTGCTGTCCAATGTTGCTTTAGGTGAAGTTAAGAAAAGAGTGAGAAGTGTATTTGCGTGCGTGCGTGTGCCTCTGCCTCTGCCTCTGCCTGGTGAGTGCGGTCCGGTTGCCGATGTCACCTCACCGTCTGGTTGCTGCAGACTTTTGTGTGAACTTTGGGTGCCTTTTTTTTTCCCCCCCCCCTCGCCGCCTCCTCCTTTCGCTCGCCTGGCAATCCACGCAAAAACAAGCAAACAAACAACAGGAAGGTATAGAAGTGGGTGCCCAGCACCTAGACACATTCCTACACCTATTTTAGTCTGTGTAGAAGGAGCAAGGCGTGTGTGTTGTGCGGGTGAAACACTTAGTTGCAGAAGAAACACGCCCTGGAAGTAAATACGCGCATACGTATTCGCGATTCTCTTAACGCCATGTTCCGCAGGTTACTGGACGAGTTCTGGGACACGGCGAATCCCTACACGAGGCACTCGGAGGATGTGACTCCGGAGGAGGCGAAAAAGCAGGCGAGTTTCGAGTCCTTCGACTACTACAAACCGTACCCGTCCATGTACATGAAACACCTTCGTGCACATTACGCTGGGCGTGCGACGGCCACTTCTAGAAGTAGCGGGGCGGGCACCACAACTGCGACGACGACGACGACGACGACGACGACAAGTAATGATACTAATAATACGAGTTCGCCGCCTCTGAAGGATGCGGTGGCGGTGGATATTGGCGACACGTTAGCTTCCAACCTTGATGCGGCCAGGTTGACGGTGATGAACACGGTCAAGAAGTACGATTCTGATGAGCGCAATGAGGCCTTGCGATGGATCTTACACGTTATTATTGCCATTTCTGTTGGTGTTTTGGCAACGATCATTTCGTACACGGTGGAGTTTGTGGATGATTACCGTGCAGCTCAGCTTTACAATCTGATCAGGGCACATCCCGTGATTGGTCGCTTTACTGGTTACCTTTTCTCCATTGGTGTCTCCATAGCGCTTGTCGTGGTGGCGGCAGCCGTAGTTGTGTTTCTTGAGCCAGCTGCGGCGGGTGGCGGCATACCGGATGTTATCGCGTATCTGAATGGGGTGCATGTGCCCAAGGCAATGAATCTTCGCACCTTTTTGGCAAAGAGCATATCTTGTATGTGTGCGGTGGCTGGCGGATTACCGGTGGGGCTTGAGGCACCATTGATTCATCTTGGCGCCATTGCGGGGGCGGGAGTGACGCAGGGACGTAGCCGCACCCTGGGGTGTCAGACGAAACTCTTCCAGGCATTCCGGAACAATAAGGACCGACGCGACTTCATCACGGCAGGAGCAGCGTGCGGCGTCAGCGCCGCGTTTGGGGCACCTATTGGTGGCTTACTCTTTGTGATGGAGGAGGTCTCTAGCTTCTGGGACCACAGTGCAAGTGGGCAGATTTTTCTCGCCACGATGATTTGCTTCACGACGATCAGCATGATTCGTTCCATCCTGGAGGATCAGCAGCTGCTGGGGTGGGTGTCAAATGCGGTTTCTGTCCTTTTTGAGGTGAATTTGACGATTCCGCTTAACCTCTTCTCGATCGTGCCGTCCTTTTTTCTCGGAATCCTTTGTGGGGCGTTTGCGGCCGTCTTCACAAAAGTGAGCCTCATGCTTGCCAAGTATCGCCGCCGGTATCTGCGCCCCATCGTCTTCCGCCGCTTTGCTGAGCCTCTCGTCATTGTCCTGCTGTACGGCACGCTCTCGTACCTGTTGGCCCTCGTGCCGGACTGCCGCCTGACGCAAGAAATGAGTAGCGCAAACGGGACGTTTGTCTGGGGCACGGAAAATAGTACGCGACTGTTCACCGCGACATGTGCGAGGAAGGACGCGTATGCGCCACTCGCAACACTTACGATGGGCACCGGAAAAGACACAATTCGACACCTCCTTTCACGACAAACAATTGGTGAATTTCCTGCAGCATATATTCTTATCTTTCTTGCACTATACACCTTCTTTGCGTGTTGGTCAAGTGGGACGGCGGTGTCTGGTGGGTTGGTGGTGCCGAGCCTGGTCATTGGCGCCGCCTTTGGGAGGTTGTACGGGCAGATCTTATGGTTTCTGGCGGCACGTGGGGCCGGCGCTGAGCGTAGTTATAAAGCGTCACAGGCCTGGCTGGATCCTGGTGTTTTTGCGCTGATTGGCGCCGGCGCCTTCTTCTCTGGCACCTCCCGCATGACGATGTCTATTTGCGTTATTATGGTAGAGCTCTCCTCTGAACTGCACTACCTGCTCCCTGTCATGGTCGCTATCATCATGTCCAAGACGGTGGCAGACTTTATTAGTGAACCCCTTTACCACCACATGCTGCGCCTGGACTCTGTGCCGTATCTGCAGGCGCACCTGTTACGTCCAGGGTTTGAGCAGCTGACGGCTGCAGACGTGATGACCTCGAAGGTGGTGACGCTTCGACTACGGGAAAAGACTTCTGTCGTGTTGAATGCGCTGCGGCACACGACACATCATGCCTTTCCAGTGGTGGAGGCGGTTCAGGAGGAAAGCACTGAGGGTGCCAACGCCAAGCCAAGCGGCATGAGAGAGGCGTTAGGGAAGGAAGGAGAGCAGCGTGTGCGGTACAAGTTTGTTGGCCTCGTTACACGTGAGGACGTGCAGATTTATTTGGCACTGCCTGCGCTGCAACGTGCCCGCCGCTCAAGCGATACTTCCGATTTGCCCGGCGCTGGTTCTAGTCTTGAGCTGCCGCCCAGTGTGCTTGCTATCAACAAGATGACGTGGGCCGAGTGGTTGACCCACAAGACATCCCTGTTTTTTCTCCTAGGAAGCAAGAGGTGGTCGGAAATATGGGCACGAAGCAACACCGCAGATGGCGTGATGGAGGAAGATCAAATGCACTTCAGCGAGGGCATCGACCATGGCGGCGGTGACGACAATTCCAGCCCGTTTTTCGCGGACGAGCGACGCCTGCCGCCAGTCCTTGACCTCTCGCTTATTGTCAACCGCAGCCCGTGGGTGATTCCACCGTTCTTCAATCTGCAGATGGCCTACCACACCTTCCGCATGATGGGGCTGCGACACATGGTGGTCGTGGATGGGGACGCCGTCGTGGGCATTATCACGCGAAAGGACCTCCTCGTGGACACGCTCTTACGCCGTCTGCGTGGACTTCAGGGAGAGGACAACGGCGGTGGTGGTGCAGGAAACACGCCGATAGCGTCACCATCGTTGCCTGATGAGCATGACGGAGGCAGTGGCTCACCGCGCCCGCGGGCGGAGGGTCCTCAGCCGATGGCCGCCTCCTCTTCCCTGCCTCCGTCCCGGGTGAGCGTTCCTGATTTGCTTTTCTTGGCATCCGCCAGCGTCGGCGCCAGGTCTCCGGAGTAAGAATCACCGAAAAACTAAAGGCAGCGGCTGCCTCAACCGCGGCGCCAAAGTGCGCGGATGAAGCCAAGCATCCCAGTGGCGCGGGATGGAGGCGTGTAAAGGGAGAAGAAGCGGCGTTGTGAAGGGTGAAACCGCGTGAGAATGGCCGTCCTTGCTGCTGCTGCCACCGTGAATGGTTGATATACGCACGTATATATATATATATATATATATGTCGGCGTTCGGGTGCGCATCTCTCATGCGGGTCCCGTCACTTCATGTTCATTTGTGTTTTCTTTCTGTCCCGACAGTGGTGCTGGTGTCGTGACTTTAGCCGTGTGCTTTTGTTTTTTATGTTCCTTTTTTTTTTGTTGCTTTCGCGCCTTCCGTGGGCAGTGGCTGCACATTACGGTCCTCTTGCTTTCTCTTTCAACTCTTTTTTGCTCGCCGATGACTGGCTCTGTGTGTGTGTGTGTCCTGCTCCCCCCACCCCGTTCCCTCTCCTTGCCCCCATCGGGATGCACGCCTCTTCCTACTGGTGCATTCTCCTGTAACACCACGCTTCCCCCTCCCCCTGCCTCTGCTTTTGAGGGGGCATTCGCGCCGCGAAGATCCGCGCCGCTAGACACATTCGTGCGCACACACCCAGAGAGAGGTGTGTGGTGTGGTGTGAAAGGAGGAGAGAATTAAAGAGATGGCTGCGTCCAGCAACGATGCGAGGGACGTCAAACTGACCGCTCTCATCAAGACGATGTTTGAGCGCGTGCCAAAGGAGAAGCGGCTGACGGTGGAGGTTGTGATGCAGCTGCTCAAGGCGAAGTACGTGGATACCTTCCCGGCGGAGTACCTCGCAGATCGCACCGGGCTGCTTGCCGGCCTCATTGACTCATTCTACAGCGCA